AAGTATATCTTAACAGCTTGCTTTTATTGTGGCTTTTTTGCTATATAGCAATAATGACATAATAAAAGCAAGTATGTACAGTGTTGGAGACCTTTGTTCAGAACTCCTCTGAGCTATGGAACTGACTTGATGATCTTGAGCCAATTACACTCTTTCATTTTGACCTACCTCACAGATTTGGAGTGGAAATGGAGTAAGGGTAAAGTGGGGAAGAGGCAGGAGAAAAAGAAGGTGGGGAAGAAGCAGGAGGAAAGGGAAGTATGTTTCCTTGAACTCAGTAGACAAAAGGCAGGTTACAAATTCAGCTAATAAAACAAATTAGATCTTACAGTGTGCATGTATATTAATGGCCCTTGGACTACTTGTGAAAATTACCAGCTCTCACCTAAAATTGCCTACTATAAAACCGGAATGTTGGAAAAGTGTGAAGGCAAGAGGAGAAGGTGACAAGAGAAGAGAAGATGGTTGGACAGTGTTACCAAAGCGACCAACATGAATTTGATTCAACTCCAGGAGGCAGTGGAAGGGCCTGGCGTGCTCTGGTCCATGGGGTCACAAAGAGTCGGATACGACTTAACGACTAAACAACAACAGCAACAACATAAAACTGGAATAGCATCCACAGGATTAAAGCTGGAAGATACATGATTTTGAAATACTTTGTATAATAAAAAGCAGCCAATAAACAAGAAACAGCAACACCTAGTAGTGTGGGGATGAAGTTGAGAAGAGATGAAGTATAGCTGCCAGCATCCATGTGCAAAAAGATGTATGGACTCAGAAAGATTATTGTTATTTCCCAGAAATAATATCTCCATAGCCCATTTTCACATGATTAAATTCAACAGAGCTACAGGGCTGGAACCAGTAGAAAGGAAAGAATATATTTTTAACTTGATCAATTGTAAGTTGGATTTCAGCTGAGCCAGAAACAGAGTGCAGAGTTGTGGGACTTGTTTAGCAGATGCAGAGAGAGTAAATGTCCCTTCCAAAGGCAACAGTGTGGGCTTGGCTTCCCTAGGAATGCTCAGACAGAATGTTTTGCTTGATGCCAGCTGAATTGGTTTGTAAGGCAAGCCCATTTCTGCTCCCAACCTACCAAACAATGCTTGGAGAAAGTAAATTTTAGAAAACCAGTAAATGACCATTGTGCTGTTCAGTAATGAAACAGCTGGAGCTCAGTAGTGGAGGTCATGCTTTGCACTTCAGAAGGTCTCTGGATCCATAAACAGTTCTAGGTAGAGAGGGAAGAATATAGTACTCCACTGCAAACAGTATGGAGCTTGGCAGGCCACTGGTGTGGTTAAAGATAAAGCACCGCCCTGTGTTCTTTCCTTATGCTTGCTGTTTTTTCAGCATGACAGTGTTAATTGAAACAGTGCAGAGTCAGTTACTATTTCATAAGTTTTTAAGATGCCATCAGGCTCTTTGAAGGTTTTTCTGTAGCAAATGTATACAGTTGGTCTTTGGAACTGCCATTCCCATTCTTTTGCTCTTTGAACGTGATGGACTGCCAGTCTCTCAACCCAGCTATTGCTGCTCTGGAATTATGGGAGCTATAGTCCAATGCATCTAGGTTTCATGCTGGGAGTGGCTGCTCTGGAATGTCATACTCATGGCTGGGCTACTTCTGGTTACCCTCAGCTTTAGAAGCAGTTTTTTTTTCTGCCTATCATGCCATTTAACTGGCCCCTAGATGGCTCATTTTCACTTAACATATTCATTAATATCAGTTGGAATCCTCCTAGTATTCATACGTATAAGGTTTGCTAATTTGCTTTGGCTCATTGATAAAGGGTCCATTTTGCACTTCTCCAGGAATACTCATACAGAACAGGACACATCTTGATTCATCAGTTGGGCATATGACCAACTGATCAAGACACAGCCTGGCACTCATCCATTAGCCACAGCAAGTTGCATGAATCTTACATGAAGATAGTTCTCACCCTCCTGTTTCTTCTCATTTTCTAGTCCAGAGGTAGCGAACCTTTTTGGGCTTGCATGCCCAAACTGGGGGAAAAAAACAGGGTGGTGTGCCATGGTGGTGGCGGCAGAACCGGAAGTGGTGGCGGAAGAGGGAATCCCGGGCACGGAGGTGGATCGAGACTCCATTCTCGATCCACTGCCAGCACCAGCTGCTCAGGATCCTGACCTGTCACCTGTCTGGGCACCAGCATCACGGTTGCAGCCACCTGCTCAGGTTTGGCTGTGTGTGTGGGGGGGATGAGTAGTGATCCAGCAGCTTACGGCTCACATGCCAGCAAAAAGGGCTCAGCATGCCAGCTGTGGCAGGTGTGCCATAGGTTCACCATCACTGTTCTAGACCTTTCCTTCCTTTTCCTTTCTGTATATTTTTAGGGGATGCCATCCATCGCCGCAAGCCCTTTCTCAAAGCCTTTGCATTGGATCAGTAGTTCTCAGCCTTGGGTCCCCAGACTTTCTTGAACTGCAATTCCCATAAGCCTTCACCACTAGCTGGGGCTTCTGGGAGCTGAAGTCCAAGGTTCGAAACCACTGACTTAGATGATAATCGGCTTTACTTTTTAAATTCAAAGTTCTATCCATTCAGATTGTGAAGAGATTCCCAGATGCACATTGCAGTTAATACCCTTGACACAGCTGCTGATGCGGCTACAACGATGAGACATCTACAGAAGGAGATGAGTAGAAGGCCTCGCCAAGAACCAAAAACAACATGATACAATTGAGTGCCTGATGAGAAAATAGCCTGCCTCTGATGCATCCAACTGGGAGCTTCCAGAAGAAAGAGAAGAGTAGAAGTGCAATGAAAAAGTGAAAAGCACACTCCTGTCTTCCTACTGACTGACTAATATATGCTCTCATTGTGCTAGGAAAAACAGACACAGAAGTTGGCTGTGCTCAGGGTACAATCCCAAGTAGTCTGGACTTTGTAAAAGGAACAGCAAGTATCAGCATGGAATTCTGGTTGCAGTGGGGAAACTGGAGGCAGAGGGAGAAATGGGGGAAAATGCCAAGTGCAGTATCAGATTAATCTGAGATCAGGCTGTATGCCAGATGCTACATTAGTGCGCCCAGTTCAAAGGTTTCTCTTTCATTCTTTACTGTTCTGGTTAAAAGAGGTCATGTATCAGCAATCACTATCCACTTCATCCAAACCTTGCCATCAAAACAGCTTCTGTTCTCCTGACTCTAAAGGTGTCTCTTTCACCCATGGGACACCGACTCACCTGAGCATGACATTGCATTGCACCTTTATGGAGCAATCTGTATCTGATGGGCTGTTGGCCAGTTCCAGAAATGCTAGTTTCCCTGAGACAATAAGAAGATAAATTAAGTAATGGGGGCAGGGACTGTTGCTTTCATTCCAGCCATTCATCATTAAAACTTT